TGACTAATTACCTCTCTAAGCTGAAGCAGCTGTTCTCGGGTGAACCGCAAAAGCTCACGACCCTCAAATCTCGAGTCTCCTCTCTACAAAACATAAACAAGTCATTAAACTTCCGAAGCGTGAGACGACGAAAAACAAGGTTTGATTTAACATGCATGAGCTCAAATCAAGGAGATGAATCTATTATATATGTAGGTGTCTTTATGAGCATCAACAACTGATAGAATGCCCACCTAAAAGCCTACAAGTATTAATCTTTGTCCATATTTACAGCAAGGTCACATTGCTTAAGCGCCCCACCAAGAATTAGGACATTACATGATATTCAACAAAGAAAAAATCTAAACTCAAACCCATAAGAATCAGCAAAAGATCCAAACTTTATCAATAACCCAATTCAACACCACAAAAACGAATCAGACCCTCAAATTTGCAAGAAACATAAAAATCACAGAACAATAAAGAAACAGAGGATTTGGTGAATCCAATAATACAAACCTTAACGGCAAAAGAAGGAGCGTCTCCACCATTGGTAAGATCAGAGGTAGAAGATAAAGAGGAGCGTGGGACAAAGAATCTGTTTCCTCCACGACCGCCTCCAGGTCTCAAGCTCAACACCGAGTGGTCACCTTGCTGCATCACTCTAAAATCTTTCTGCTAATGATATACGAAAGGTCGGGTTTTGAGACTGCAAAAAGACCAACGAAAATTACGGGTTTCTGCGTCACAGAGATCAATCAACTCGACGCAACAAAGTAGATACCGACTAAGATAACGATTACAATCCCGCCGATTAATCTATAGATAAAGTGTGTAGAAGAAGATGTAAAATTAGGTTTTAATGGAAATTTACGTCGAGAATCGAAATCAAAGGAGCGAAATGCGAAATCAGTGTTGATGTAAGAGGAAAATTTGAAGAAAGCCTTACCTGAGAGAGAGTTTGATAAAGAAGAAAGAGAGAACGCGGCGCAGAGAGTTGAAAGCTGTTTTATTTTCTTTTTAACCTCTGCTTCAACCATTTTAGGGTTGGCCCAAAATATTAACCATTTTGGGAATAAAATCATTTTCTTTTCGTAAATCATAAATAAAAGAAAACTTTTATGATCATTGTATAAGAGAAATTGTTTAAAATATTAAATAGAAATTGTATAAGTACTTTTTGATATATTCTACAAATGAATAATTACTTTGATCAAAAAAATAAGTACTAGGTTACATTTTCATAATGTATATATTGTGGTAATTTTGCTATGGTATGTATAATTAATGGGTTGTTATTTCTACATATTTTAAACTGGTTATTTTTCAAAATTAGTACCTTCAACTTATAGTTATACGTCAATTATGTTTGATCGGATTGATACAGTATATAAAAAAAAACTTGAATTCTCAATGTAGATGCTACCTAGATGGTTCTTATTTTTCAGAGCGTACAAATACAATAAGAGTATATGTCGGAAAAAAAAGAATCATCATAAAACATTATCTCATGGCTATTGAGAACGAATCAAATTTGATGGTTCTATCTTTTAATCTCTCGGACGTGTTCCTACATAATCAAAGTTAAAAAGATTGGGAAAAATAAGCCATTCACAACCGGTAAGTAATGAAGAATTTCTTAAAAAGTGAAGGATTAGTAATTTGTTTATTGGGATATTTACAAAAATATCATTTTTGTGTCTATATTTGTAAAAATACCATTTTTGGTGTCTATTTACAAAAATGTCACTAATTTTTTAGAACCTAAAACTTAAAATTATAACCCTAAAAAATATTTTAACCCATAAAAAACCCTTTAAACCTTTAAAACTAAACCCTAATACAACATGGTTAACCCAAACATAAATGATATAATGAATAAATAATTTTGAAAAAGTGGCATTTTTGTAAAGGGGCACTTGAAAAGTGGCATTTTTTGAAATTTCTCTTGTTTGTTTATTTGATTTTAATATCAACTGATAATTTTATTTATAAAAATTAGTTTCAAATTATATCAATGACAAATCTAATTGAATTAATATATTATACGTGATTGAAAAATATATTTATGTGCTTTTTATTATTTTTGTTACGAATATTAATGGGTTTTCAATATCAATTTTTGTGAAATAAATATTTTTTAAAAAACATCAATCATATTGAAATAGGGGATATTTGTAAAAATACAATTTTTAGTGTCTATATTTGCAAAAAGCCACTGCCCTAAAAAAATATTTTAACCCTTAAAACTTCTTAAACCTCTTAAACCTTCAAAACTAAATTCTAATACTACAT